GCTGCCCTGGGTGCATCTTACCTTATTCTCTTTTATTATTTTAAAAATTTTCTGGAGTTGTTACGTTTATTAATCACAGTCATGTAGTATGTCTTGCTTTTTCAATTTTATCAAGTATTCGCAATTATCATTAAAATCATTTTACCTTATTAAGAATTATTTCATCGTTAACGATTTATGTATACTGAGTTATTTGGTGTACATGCGGGGACTAATGGACGGCTTTGTTTGCTTTAGTAGAGACTCTATTTTGCACTAGAAATTTGAAGTAAATACTCGCTAAATTATTCAGTTCATCAGTACAAAAATATGCATACTGAAACTACATTGCGTAAAAGATCGGTAGTGTTGAACTGAGTTTTCTTGATAATTTATCTTCACACTGAAATATTTCGACTTCAAAAAGTCTTCATCAGATGTAGTTGAATAAATACACAAGAAAACTCAACTCAAAATGTCCGTCCTCAAGCCAAATCAAGTACGACCTGTATCAGAGCCAGGCAAGACGAAGTTTGTGGACGTCTTATCCCGACTTGGTTCCATGAAGGGCAAACCTGTTCCGCCCGTTTTATTGCATATTTTTTTCTCGTCCTTTTCGCTCGCCTCGTCTCGATGAGTTTTTCCTTTTATTATTCCGTCTGTGTCGTGATTCAAGAAGAAATGAATATAACAACGAACTAATATACCCACTGATTAATGCGATTTTTTCTGAACTTTCCGTCGACCCTCTACCTCGAATAGGTTGTTGGCATTGTTTACAGTTGCCAACTGTGTGGATAGTCCAGACTGATCGCAAATTTTTGATTTTAATTCAAACGGGTTACCAACTACTTTATATTGATATATCTGATTTTTATAGAGAGGAAATAGAAATATTTGAATCGGTTTGATTAATAGACGATATCGTAGTACACATTGTTCAAGACACATTTATTATCTGACTGTTTCAAATAGAATGAAAAAAGATTAGATAAAGTCGTGTCATCCACTTTAATGGGCGACGGATCAGCGTTTATACGGAATTGTTTTGTATGGCTTTGTCTTGCTCGTCTCATTAAAGAAGGTTTTTATAAGTATCCCTCTCACCTCTAATCTGTATATTAATAAACATTCATTCGGCCGATTTCTCCTCTCAGAAACCAGCTAGAAGAGGTCAAATTAGTTTCAAAATATCAGGTTAAGTTAGGGTAATGACGTAAAACAGCCAGAGTTTTGAATTCTTGCTTTATGTTATTTTCCAACGAATTTTACCTCAAAAGTTCAGAAATGCGTAGAAACTATATAACGTTCAACAGTGTAAAAAAGAATAACGGCCTAAATAAAAAGCCGGGCTCTTTTACGTTGTTTTCATATGTCTTGGCTTCAATTTAAAAAAGAATGAGCTTGTTCCAGTTTCTCGTTACGAAGAAATCTGCCGGATGGTGACTTTCGCCAAGCAAAAAAAAAAAAACAGTCTCAAGAAAAACACAAAATACTGTTTTTCTACTGGAAAATAATTTTCTTTCAGTTTTTCTCTAAGAGTCACTGGACACGAAATATGGCGGAGTGTAGTGGAAGTACACTCAATGACCATATCAGACTATTATAAAATCATGTTCATCTTGTAGAGCATGGTGAGTTATCTAGAAATCCAACGTTTAAGCTTTTCCAAAGTTATGAAATTTTTTGAAAAAACTCCTGAGATCAAAAACGCTAAAGGACAAAAACGAGGAAAAAATTAAATTTTTTTTCCAAGAGAACCATAAGAGATCAAGATAGGATATTTTTAGAGTATGTAGTACGACATGTATTCTATATATAGAAGACATGTCATAACTCTGAAACAAAAAGTCTGGAAAAGCTTAAACTTTGGATTTCTAGATAATTCACTATGCTGTACAAGATGAACATGATTTTAAAAAAATGGTCTGAAACGATTACTGAATATGTGAGGTCGTACCTCTCATGCAACAACTCTTAAGAGTGAAGTTCTATAGGTTTTCGACCATGAAGATTCCGATACATATATGCTCATACATGTGCTGTATATTCATATGTGTATGTTAATGTTTTTTTCACAGTACCATTTCTCTAACCGCTAAAACATATGATATCTACATTTCCATAGGATGTCAGAAAATCTTTGTGAAACACCACTTAAATACGTTGCGAAGTGAATAAAAATAGGTGCATTGGAGAAAGGACACTTGGGACTATATTGTCATGCACTTTTGCAAAATCGATGTTTTTTTCGAAAATTATCATTTTTGATTTGGTGAATGTCGAACTTAATATTTCAAATTGAACGCCCAATTAAATGTCTTTAGTCTATGGTACGTGTATTTAACAGTCAATTTAATTTTCATTCTAAACTTTACTTAGATTTTGAAAAATGAATAGTCCATTAACAGCAGCATCAGATACGGCAGCTATTGAGTTGTTGAAGCGAGCTGATCAACTGGATGGAGAAAAACGTTATGCTGAGGCATTAAATTGTTATACCGAAGGTAATACAGTTTAGAATAAAATATTTTTCATTTAATACTCCTCTCATTTCTTATTATAGGCGTGAGGATGTTATTATCAGTAGTTAAAAGTAAAAATTGAAAGAAGTCATTTTACATATTACATAGCTTTATTTTTATCATTCAGCATTTACCTCAAACGATGATCGAAAACGGATGGCTTATAGAGAAAGAATTACATCTTATCTTGAACGAGCTGAACAATTAAAAAAATTGATTAAAGAACAAGAAGGTATTGTTTTGTTTTATGAACGATTGTTCTTTGAAATGTGTAAATTAATGAGACATGTTGATCTTATAACTTTTAAACTCTACAGAAAGTACTAATTGAGATCATGGCATCTAATCAAACAGTTCTATTCACGGTAAGTATATTGCTCGATACGTCAGTTATATATATCGCATGGGGAAATTTTATCGACTTTTTACACATGAGAGATCGTGAAATGTCATCTTGGACTTTTATGAAATTGTATAGATAAAGACAGCAAGTTTCACGACTTTGGGGTCGTACACTTGCAACATCAAATGCGTGTCCATGCGTGAGAATTGTTCATTTATGTACACGCGCGCAGATACTTCAAGAAAATTTTAGCGGAAAAAGTTACATGAAAAATCTGCGCTCGTCTATACAAGTGAACAATGTTCATGTGTTGTCACACATGAAACAATTGTGGCTTTCAAGGTATATATTTCCTAAAATTTAGAATCGAATCAAAGTACAATAAATTGCAAATCTGTAACGTTATCATTGAGCCAGGTTGACATCGGAGAATGTAGAATAAATTTTGTACTTATGCTTGCCAATTAATTTTCACCATATCTCACGCGTGAAAAGATTTTCACGCGCGATCGCGGGCGAACCGTCGTAAGAATTTTACTTAAAAAATTCTGGGATTTTCCACCTATCCGTACAAACACAGTTGCAGGTCAATCTTAACTAATCGAAACATTTTCACTTGTGGATAAACGTGTATAGAAAAGAACTGCATGAAAAAATTACACGTACATTAATATGAAGTGCTACGTTTTATAATAAAATTCGTTCTAAACATTCTGACGCACCATTTAACGATGTTCACCTGCGCTCACATTTCGTCACACGATGTTCACGAGTGTACGCGCCGTGGTATCTACTAAAATTTCCCCATGAAATATATATATAAGATTTTTTAGTGCGAACAATTTTTTATAGAAGATGAGTGAACTAATACTACAATTTATTTAAAACTGGTTATAACTCTAATTTATAATTGTTTTAAAACAAAATGATTTCAAAATTAAATATTTATTCTATACCTTATAACGTCATAAGTTATCTCATTTTTGTATGACTGTTTGTTTCCTCTTTTAAATTAAAAACAAATCTATTTCTTTCTGCATGATAAAGATATCATTTTAGGATACTTTTTGTACTTCTTAAAGTGAGCTATGTCGAACGAAAATAGCATAATATTTTTTTTCTTCATTTTCTTGTGTAAACTGCTGACGATGACAAATTGTATGAGAGATAATTATAAGTGTTATCACTTGAATATAAGCAAACAAAACATAATATTTTGTTCTTCATTGTGCTTACTCTCTAAATTAAATGAATGCGAATAAAGCGTATTAAATAGTTTTCCCAGCATTTTAATGGAATTTGACTATCATTTCTTGATATTCATAAACATTTTTCTCTGTGCTATTCCTTTCATCTTATCTCAAAATGTTGAACAAATTCAAATATTAAATGTATGTGCTACTTCACAACAAACGTTACGTTGTCCGAATAATTATGCTATTATAATTGTTGATGCTTTTAATGGTGTTGATCATCAAGGATCAGGTTCGTGTGTTTATTCAACGGGTGATTGTATTGCTGATGCCATTTCTAGTATAACATGTTTGACAGATGGTGTTACATGTATAGTATTTGCTAGTAAAAAGAACTTACCAACATGCGAAAATAAATTAAGTAATTATTTACATATTGAATACCAATGTGTACCTATCATTATGCAAGATACATCGAAAGTCTATGACGTTTGTCAGACTGGAGATATTACTAGTGATCATGGTATCATTACTAGTCCAGGTTATCCGACACAATTTCAAACAACAACAAATGAATGTTTACGAGCCATACACGTACCGGATAATAAATTAATTCAATTATGGTTAACTGATTTGTACATTGGTTCATCACCATCACAAAATTGTCAGAAAGATCATGTGTTAGTAGTTGATAGTGTAGCTAACCATCGACATTGCAGTATGAAACGTTTTACTTATCCAACATTATGTTCTACAACGATTTTTATACAATATTATGCAACAACAACATCAACCAGTTATCGCGGCATGAGATTATATTTTGAAATTATCGATAGACCATCAAATATCAATTGTCCTCAAGTAACTGTGACACCCGCACCGTTATCAACAACACCAATGACAATACCGTTTTCAACAACGCCACATATGACAACAACAGCGCCTATCTATGCCCAATTAGGTATTGCATCGCCAAAAATTGATGTACAGTTATGTAAAGGTATGTATAAATAATCTGTTAAATGTTTCTTTGTTTTTTTCTTATATTTGCTCTTTTATTTCTTTAGGTCAATTTAAAATTATTTCTTGTCCAACAAATTATCTTATAGCCATTCATACTATATTGTATGCTGTTGTACCGTCAAATGAATGTGAAGCCTTTAACTCGGCTACACATTGTTCCATAACAGCCGAATCCACTTTGTCTTGTGGAAAATCGTGTACAGTCAGTTATTATGGTAACAAAATCATTCCTACTTGTTCCAATCAAGAAGCAACATATCAGTTGGTATCCTATCAGTGTATACCTGACAACGCGCCATTATTAACAGATAATCAGTTATGTACAAATGGTCCAATTTCTATTAACATCTCGAAAAACGGAGAATTTCAATCGAACAATTATCCGTTTCCAACTGAAGATGAAAATTGTACATATCATTTAAAAACGGACGTTGGTAAAATAATACATATTTATTCGTTAGATGTAAGTCTCAGTGACCTTAATCTAGATTGTAAAAAAAATCATTTGACAATAATTGATGGTGATGATCAGGAGGTATTCTGTGATGTATTTTATAGCGAATTGATTTATTCAAGTTGTTCAAATGAAGTTGCTATTAGTTATTATATCATTGATATTAATCCAGTATTACATTATGGTGTACAATTGTACATTGAAACAGAACAACGGCCAGCCGATCATTGTGGCAAGACAGATCCACCGCCCACAAAACCCACAGATGTCACATATATAACTCCTACAATACCAACAATATCTCCTACACAATTTCTTGGCGCATTAAGTGAAACAGATGCTGTTATTTGTTTTGGTGATAAACCAACATTCACATGTCCATTTGGTTATACATTTATTATTATTGATGCATTTTTTGGTGTTAAAAAATCACCAACAGACGCATGTCAGTTTCAACAGGGCGATTGTATACAAGATGCCTCAAGTACAATAACAACATGTCAACATGATGATCCTATCTGTTATTTACCATTTACCGTAAAGCGAAAATTAGCACATTGTCAAGATTTATACGCCGATTATATGCATGTTATTTATCAATGCATACCAAATAAAGGTTTGTTTGTATTTCTTTTATTATTAACAATTGCTCGAAATCTGATTCTAATTTTCACAGGTTTAACACCAGATTTAGTTACATACGATATATGCGCATCATCAGACATAATTACCGGATTCAATGGTCTGTTAGTAAGTCCTGGTTTTCCGAAATATCAAACAGTCACCCCTGAATGCAAACGTGGTATGTACACATATTCACAGCCAGTTATTATGCATCTAATCTCGCATTTTATTTTAGTAATTATACCAATGAGAGAGAAAGCATTAAAAATTTGGATCAATGAAATGGCAATATCAAGCGGTAATTTTAGAACGACTAATAATGATGGTAAGTGTCATGTCTTGATTCATCTTCTATAATTGTTTAACATTTTCTGTATAGAATCTCAATCACTGGCTAAATCAGCTGATTTGATTATACATCGATCGCCCTCGTCATTGTTTATCAATGCAGAAGATCATATACGCTACGGTTTACGTGATGTTTGTCCAACAGATTATTTAATTATAAACAATGCAAATGATATTTCATATATGTATTGTGGAACAAGAAAACTAGTATTACAAACCTTATGTGCCACGGAAATTTACATTCAGTATTACGCACCATCAGTTGGCAATTCCTTTTATAAAGGTTTTAAACTATATTTTGAAGAAGTTGATAAGGCACTGGATATTTTTTGTCATGCTGGTCATTCATTATTTCCAAATTTATCAACGACAACTGAAGATCCATCTGTGTTACCACCATGGGCTGTAGATTCCCAATTATCACCAATATTACCAGTATTCTTATGTCGCGGTTCAATAGGAAAAATGTCTTGCCCATCAAACTATGTTGTATCGATTTATCATTCATATTATGGTGTAACAGGTACCGGGCAATGTGAAGCACCCGATAATAGTCATTGCCAACAGGAAGCCGGCTTATCCTTATCATGTACTCACACATGTTTAGTTGATTATATTATTCCGAAACAATTGATACTGTGCAATAATGCTGATGCTGATTACCTAAATATTGATTATCAGTGTATCCCTGCTCAACTGAATAATGGTGAATCATCAATTGATATCTGTTCTACATCTCTCACGGAGACGCTAGCTATTAATCGAGGGATCATTACATCTCCACAATTTCCTCAGTTAGGTTTACAAACAAGACGTTGTAGTAAAACAATACAAACAACTCCAGACAAAGTATGGGAAATATATATTGTCGATGTGTTTCTCGAATCAGAAGATATAAATGGTAATTGTAACGACGCTTCACTGACATTAAATGACGGTAATGATGGTTTAACGCTATGTGGTTTACAGCAGCCACAACGGATATTAACTAGTTGTTCAGATAAAGTTAAAATTGAATTTACATCAAATAGACAAGCACTTGGATATCGTGGTTTCAAGTTATACTTCCAAACAATTGATGTACCTAGTAACTGGGCTTGTGCACCTACCGGTTTCAGTACAACAACATCGACAAAAGGGCCACCACCGACAACATCCAAACTACCACCAAGCATTTTAAGTAGGTTAAGTTACTCTATGAACTAAATGTTTACAGCTCATTCTATCTTCGTCAAGAAGGTCTGGATTGATTCTAACTATTTTTTTAGTTCAAACATATGGTGGAACAACCAATGGATCCATGCAGTACTGTACATTTCCGTTCCTCCATCTAAACCTCTTACAAAGTGCTTGCTTACCACCGGAGACAGCACCCACAATCGGTGGATCAACCGACTCATGGTGTTCATTAACAGAAAATTTTGATGTGGATAAACAATGGGGTTATTGCTATTTAGGTAATTGGATCTAAAACTTCTAAGTGCATCATAGAACTCTGACTTTCTTTAGGCGTTACACAAACAACATTGTATGATATTTGCCCAGGTCAATTTATGCAATTGAAATGTCCGGCTGGATACGTAATTGATATTGTAGCATCTATGTACGCTACCAAAAATCCAGATAGTGACCCTGCACAATCATGTGTCTATGATGTGAATGATTGTTTTGTTAGTGATGGTGCAACAGCTCAACAAATATGTGGTGGAAAAACCTCGTGTATTGTATATTATTTTGATAAAACTTTAGCATCATGTCAAAATCGTCGTTCATCATATTTACATATTGATTATGTTTGTGTTCCGAATGCAGTACCCTATATTACGCAATATGATTTTTGCGGTAGTACCACAACAATAACACCAACAAGTGCCGAACCGATTAAACGTGGGTTTATTCTATCACCGAATTATCCAAACACTCCGCCAGGTCTCAATTGTACGATAACTATTCAACCACCGGATCAACAAGATATTTACATTTATATTCTTGATATGCAATTAACCGCTTCACTTCAACAGAATTGTGTTAAAGATAAATTTATTCAGATTTACGATGGCTTAACACAAGAAACATGCGGGCAATCGTATACAAATTTTCTATTGAATACGTGTCATTCACCCTTGACTTTACAATTAATTAAATCGAGTGATTCCACATCAAAAGGACTTAAGTTATATTTTGAATTTATTGAGCGTTCAATTGATACCACGTGTCCTCTACCGCCACCTATATCATCAACAAAGCCCACACTCACAACACAGGGTCCGTTGCCCGATTACTACCCGTATATCCAAACTCCAATGCAAACAAAATCATTTTGTTATCCCGATTTCACATCCTTGTTTGGAAACAATATTCAGTGTACTATCAACAACTATGTGTTGGTCATACGTCGAGCGTTCCATGGTAAAGGTTCAAAGTGTGGTTATACACACGGTGATTGTGTAATGCAAGCCGATTCTGTTTATCGAACATGTGCTGGTAAACAAGCGTGTGCTATGCCATTTCTAACACCAGTAACGGTAGCTGAGTGTGGAAGTGTCGCAACATACTTATATATTGAATATGAATGTATGCCAGATTTGACTGTACACCCTCCTCAAGACATATGTTCAACGCAACAGACGACATTGGCTATGTTAGGTGGTACATTCATAAGCCCCTCCTATCCGTCTTATGTAGTAACACAATGTGACAATATTTCTCTTCGACCAGAGGATAATTCTGATTTGATATTATACATGTATTTGATAGAGTTGAACATTGAAGCAGAAGATAGTACTTCTGGTACGTGTTCAAACGATTATCTGACATTTTCGTATAAATGTGATGGACAATTAATTGAAAATAAACTCTGTGGTACAAGAAAGACACAACTCTTATTCGAAACATGTAATGCCAATGAAACCGTTCAAATTGCATATAAAACTCAAAATCAACTTCAGCAACAAGGTGGTTTTGCATTATATTATCAGTATTTTCAAAAACCTACTGAAATAACGACTTTGCCAACAAGACCTACTACAATGTCTACGACGAGAAGTACATCTACTCCAGATATGGTAGTAGCTGGACCAATACAAACTGAGACGGTTTGCAGTGGACAAACGCGTACATTATCTTGTCCGCGAAATTCTGTCATTGCGCTGTTACAAATTGATATGGGTGTGAGCGAAACAGATGTATGTTCATTTTCACGTAATGATTGTTTCGAAGAACGTACATATTTATACGGGGTATGTGCTGGTCAAACAGCGTGTGTCATACATTTTACACCGTTACCAGTTGCAGATTGTTCAAATAAGCGTGCTACTTACCTTTATGCCGAATATCAATGTTTACCGATATCTGGACAAATACAAATGCATACATGTGACAATGAGTCATCAATAAATGTTCAACGCTCAGCAAGTATTTTATCGAGGAATTATCCCACATACACTCCTTCATCAGAAAATTGTGCAATTCAATTGCATGCTCCACGACTTTTGGGTAGTCCAAACGATCGTTCATTTAAAATTTATATTGTAGCATTCAATTTACCTTCTACTACGGTAAGTAATATCCACTACGCTGGGTCAGACACTCATAGTTTGTACATTGTGTGAAACACGTGAGAAATTAGAGTTTATATTTTAAATCTGTGAATTCAGATCTATTTTTTTATTTACTAGCATCCTTCGCTCTTTAAAAGCAGAGCGACAACAACAAATATGATGTGACTTCTTTTAAAGTGTGGTAGCGCATATCTTATGTTTGCTGTTGATGTTTCTGATAAATAGTGTCACACTTTTATACGCTCTTTGAATAATTTTAATTCTATTGATGAGAGATGCGTGTTTTTAGTCTTTCGTTAGAAAGCATTATTGAAACATCAGTTCATATTGGTGAATAATGATTTTAATTTTACTTATAGTACTCTATATTAAACATTTAGGTGTTTCATACTTAAGGCGCAATGGAGCTACTCTGACCAGACTTTTTCTTATCTAGGTATCTGGTGGACAAGGCTCACAGTGTGATGATGTGAATGATGCTTATGTCGACCTTTATGATGATTTTGATAAAAAAATACGATTATGTGGTAATTTACATACACGATATATTTTTGAAACATGTTCCAGTACGATTTCTATTCGTTTCAAAGACGTTTCTAAGCAAATATCAGTCAAATATAAAGGTTTCAATATATATTTTGAGGCTGTTGATCGTAATCCACAGGACTGCAGCGGAATAACCATTGTGCCGCCTGTACTATCGATACCATTAGATATTTATGATCAAACCGTTTGTTCATCTTATGGTCGAGGAACTGTAACAATGCAATGCACTGAAAATCATGGTCTTCTATTTTTACACTCGTACCAGTATTCGACGTCAAAACCCGATGAATGTCAAATTAACGATCAACTTTGTCGTTATCCAAGTGAACAACCACAAACTCTATGTAGAGGACAAACAATGTGTACATACACATTCGTTCATCAACCGTACCCACCATCTTTCGGCTGTTCAGTTGCATCTCCCGATCTTATTAATTTTCAATATCAATGTATACCAAATATATTAATGCAAACACCAGAGTATAATATAGCAGTTTTATGTCAAGATTCGACAATATCGTTTGAAAAAGGTTTTATTTCTACACCTAACTATCCAGCATTTAGCTATGGAAAAAATTGTAAAATAAGAATACGTTTATCAAACGAGGATACAACAGATCTACGCTACCTGCGTTTGTATCTTTTGGATTTATCTATACGTCAATCACCATCAGTAATAAACCAGGATATGATTCCGTGTTATGATTCCGTAACATATGGTGATCTTAATACGAATAATACGTTGTGTGGTGAAATTGATGAACAGAAATTTCTATATGAAACACTCAATGGTATACTCGAGATTGACTTCAATACAAAAACAGTATTACCCACGGATGATACATTACTTTTACGTGGTGCTCTCTTTTTCTTTTACGTCAGAAAGGTAGCAGCACCATCAACCACATACTCGCCACCGCCGACAACAATAGAAACCATTGAACAGACTAGTACAGAATCGCCGAAAAACAAACATATCACAGCAATTATTATCGGTGTAGTGGTTGGACTTTGTGTTGTTATTATTTTGCTGGGTGTCGTATTGCACCGAAAAGGTCTTCTATTTAATGTTAAAAAGTCTTCGCCAGATGTTCATTACCAACAAAATACAGTTCAAATACAGGATCCTGCACGATCATCATTGGCCCCAACGCCTTTTGTGATGAAAGAAGGCTTGAGACCAACGTCATTAGAAAATCCATTATATTCAAAACAAACTCTCCATTTTCATAATCACCCAAATGGAACGACTGATGCATAAATATCATATTCGTTTATCTTCTTCTGTTTTTCTCTCGTTTCTTAGACAAATTGTGTATATTTTTATCGTTTTCTAATAAGAGAAAATATTACATTATAAAAAACGCTGAATAATATGCAAGAAAACGAGAAGATGAAGAAATTTTGAGCCATATTTGATTTTGTCATTTTTGACGCTAATTTGCCCTATTATTGCTGACAGATATAACTAAACGTTAACGTTTTTCGGGAATAAATTCTTTTTATAAATAGAGAGCTCGGATGCTCAGCATTGTGAAATAAAGATTTTCACACATGTTTTCATATCAAAAGGATTTGAAAATTAATTTTTTAAAGTAGAAAATTGAAAGTTTAATTGAAAAACCAATTCATGACTCAAAAACTTGTTATGGAAATATATTGAGATTTTTTCATAAATCGTTGGTCTGAGTATCCTTCTCGATATGGCAGACAAGCGAGACGTTCATTCTTCACGGTTCAGACATGGCATCGGATTTCCGGAAAGTCCTAGACGGATATCTGTTCACTTTCAGGAATCTCATGGAACATAGTCGATCGAGCACGATCCACTGGAAGATTTCTACTCTTCTACCTATTAGACTATAATAATTTGAGTTATTCTCCATGATGTCAATGCAGTAAATTGTTTTCAGCGATAGAATTCCCGATCAGATTTGTGAGAAATCTTTTTGGTACTCAGCTCACTAATCTCTTCTCTAAGATTCCTAAAAGTGAACAGATATCAGTCCAGGACTTCTCGAAAATCCGATGCCGTGTCTGAACCGTGGAGAATGAACGTCTCGCTTGTTTGCCATATCGAGAAGGATACTCAGACCAACGATTTATGAAAAAATCCCAATATATTTCTATAACAAATTTTTGAGTCATGAATTGGTTTTCCAATTAAACTTTCAATTTTCTACTTTAAAAAATTAATTATCAAATCCTTTTGATATGAAATCATGTGTGAAAACCTTTATTTCACAATGCTGAGCAACCAAGCTCTCTATTTGTTTTTGCGCCGACTTATTCAGAAAAACTGTGAGTGATACTGTATTATAAAAACAATAGTACACAATAGGTTTGCTCATGATTAAGATGAAAGTAACGTCTCTATGTTTCTAACATTCGACAGAATTTTTTGTTAGAAATCTTGCGCTTTATTGTTTGACAATAACATACTGTTATTTTTTTTAGCAAAAAATTATCATGAACAAATCCAAATAAAAGATGATTCAATCGGAAACAGTTATGAAAAAATATTCGGTCGTTTTCTGGATGAAAATGTGACACAAGTCGATATCCAAGATCCATACATACGAGCATTTCATCAAGTATGAGCGCATCCTCAGTGTGTCTATTCAGTAATTAGAACTGTATTTTTTGTTTATTTAGATTTCTAATTTTTTACGTTTTTGTGAATTATTAATTAAATCACGAGCAAAAGTTGTGTGTATTAATTTATTAACAAGTCAAGAAGCGGTAAGAAAACTCTTTACTTCTATCAGAATCTTCACAAATTCATATTTAGAATGATCAAGCAAAACAAACTCAAGCTCGACAATTAAATGAAATCAAAGAACATTTACTGCGTAAATATTCAATTGATTTAATAATACAATATTCAAATGTGTTACATGACAGAGAAATACGTTTTAATAATGGATGGCATATCAAAATTGGTCGAGGATTAGACTTTTATAAAGCACCTGAATTTAAACTTGCAATTGGGAGCTATGATCTTGACTTACGACCGTGTCATCAGACTACTATAGATATTTTTCATGCTGACTCATTTTCTGCAAAATCATCTTGATAATACTGGTTTTGTTTCAAGATTATATTTCTTTTGATAATTTGATAATTTTATGTATATACGAGAAACTCAAATAAAACATGTGTTGAGCTCTTTTTTTTGACTTCGTGCACTATGGAGTATACTCTGGTTATTCATAGTTTAGTATCCCTCGAAAACAAAAGCGCGGTGTCATAGAGTCATCTGGAATAAGTATTTTTTATTCGCTTATAAATAGACTAATCAAAAATTTTCTATGGAGTTGCACTGAATATTGATGGAAATAAAGTGAATTTATTTTATTTCGGACCAGGGTTGCCATACGTACCCCATTTCATACCCCCGAAAATTTTGTATCTCTGAGGTACGCATTTTGTACCCCATTTAGGGTTTTTGAGTCTGTGCTGCGATAAACTGATCTTTTAATGGAAACAAGTTATGTTTTTTAGTAGAGTTTATATCAATTTTAGAGGCATCTATAATAATGAAATATATTATATATATAGTTATCCCAACTAACCTTCTATTTTAGAAGGAAATTTATGTACCCCAACGACGTACCGCATTATAAAAAGAAGTGTACCTCAATTGTACCCCATTCGGAATCTCGTAAACCCCACTTGAAAATTAAGATATGGCAACCCTGTTTCGGACCCATCATATTGAGTTCGTCCATAGTACAAGAGAAGTAGTTTTCCGGTTTTTCCGTTATGCTGTTTAGTCTTAGAGTAGAGCGATGATACTGTTACTAGTGAACAAGAATTGACAAAGGAAAATGCTGTGTTTTGAACTAAATGAACGAATTATGCTTTTCACGATAGATTTTCATTTATATCAATTTGAGTTCGCTTTAAATCTGCATGATAAGTAAGAAACATTTGATTCACATCCATAATTGAATCATTTAAAATCAATACTGTAATAAAAACAGTTAGAAAACCTCTCTATAATCCTGAATGTGAGAATCAGTATTACAAAATTGTTAACTTTCTTTAACAGAATGGAAAGTATAAAGTTGGGTTTTATCGGTGGGGGAAATATTGTTCAGGCATTTATTAATGGACTTCATCGGTCAAATCAATTAAAATTAACAAACACGATGATTAGTTGTCCAAATGCTAATGAGAAACCAATATTCAAACAGTACAGTGAATATATCCAAACAACAACGTCAAATATTGATTTATGTCGATTTGCTGATATTGTTTTATTTGCTGTCAAATCTAAATTTATTAAATCAATATGTAATGAATTGAATGAACATTTGAATCACGATGATAAAAAACGCATTTTATTTGTATCAGTTATTCCTGGTTTGAAGATATTGACAATAGAAAAATGGTTAATGATTAAGAATGAAAATATCGTTCGTATTATGTACAACGTCGCTGTTGCGACTGAAAATGGTTGTTTTTGCTTTGCTATGAGCAAGCTAAATGAGTCGATGAAACAGTCCTATGAAAATTTAAAATTTTTGTTTAATGCCGTTGGACAATATGCTGGTAATGTTACAGAAGATCAATTAGACGTAGTTACAGCTCTCATGGGTAGCGGACCAGCGTTTTTTTGTTTGGTATGCGAAGCAATGGCAGATGGAGCAGTAAAAATGGGCTTGCCGCGTGATTTAGCATTGGCGATGACAAAGCAAACGATGGTCGGTTGTGCTAATTTGCTGTTGTCATCGAAAGATAAACATCCCGCACAATTAAGGGATGAAATAGCAACACCAGGTGGCACGACTATTTATGGCTTACACGCACTGGAAACAAAGGCTGTAAGAGGAGCATTTATAGATGCGATTTCGGTCGCAGCGCAAAGAGCTCAAAATATGTCAAAAGAGTTAGAGACATTTGAGAATGATAATAGTTGATGCTGATGACAAATCTCACGTGTTCTTCGTTTTTTCTTTAATTGTTATATTCTAGTTACATGTATTTCTTTTTACACCGTTTCTTCTCAACAAAACTGAGTTGTTGAAAAATGCATTTGCTCTTGTTCCAGAAGTTTTTAATACAGTTAATGAACGTACATATCAAATCTTATACTTCTGAAAGGTAAGTACCATTTTAAAGTTGCTATTTGCTGAGTCAGTTTCCTTCTTCTAAAATTTTGTTCTATGTCAGGCAAGCATTCTGTCAAGGAGCAGATTGTTTACTGCAGGAAAGATAATGGGTTAAGGAAATTAAACGTTGATGCTATCAGCATCCTATACTAGTAACTTTAGCTTCAAGGCAGAATATTTCATACTTCGTTCAAATTTTGTTTGAGATGTTGTGTTTCTTTTCTAGATGTTTCCAAAACTACTTCGACCAGCCAACATATCTAATTTGATGCTGTTTAGTTGTAAATATCGTCATTTATTTTTAAATGATCGATTGAAATCAACTATTTTTACTCGTTTACATGACATTCGTCAATATTCAGCCTATCCTGAACCAAAAGATATACCTAAAAGTTCTTCTCACATGGGTAGAACATTTACTGAAGATATGATTGATCCAAATATGATCGCAGCTATCAATAAAGCACAAGAAAAACTTTCTTCAACAATACAATTATTAAAAAAGGAAAAAACAACGACGACGCCATTGTCTTCGGCGACAAATACTAATAATGAGCTGGGTGAACTTGTTTATAGTGGAAGTTTAGATCGTCCATTAATGATCGCTAAATCACTATCACTATCATCTAGCATTGGTGGTCTATGTATCTATCCGGCAGTATTCTTCAATTCAGATCTACTGGCTGCTGATAATAAAGTAATTATTATTTCCTTTTCAATTATAACGGGTTTGTTTATATTTATTACGCCAGTATTAATGCAATTAATATCAAAACGTTATTTAATACAAATATATTATAATTCAATTAAAAATCAATTTACAGCTTATTATAAAAACTTTTTTCTCATACGTCGTAAAATAGTATTCACACCTGATGATGTTAAAGTGCCACCAGTAACCGGTATATTTACAACATGTCTAATTAAACAAAAACCCTATTTTATTAATAATGAAGATTTTAAAGATAAAGATATTCTAAAGAAAATGTTAGGCTATGACAAACCTTTTGATTTTAGTCCATATATGAAAGCGAAAGAACATGAAAATGATATATCACAAGAAAAAACACATATAGACGCATTTGATATGGAACAAAATAAGAAGAAAAACAAAGAATAACACTTTTTTGCATTATTTGCTTAGTTTTTTCATTTGTATTTATTCGTTTTGTTATGAATTAAGAAACTTATTTGTTTATGAGTTGGATAAAGAAAATTTGAAAATGTTACATAATCTCAAAATAATCTGAGGAATTATCAGTTCGCTTTCTACTTATTAGTTATATTTCATACAATTAAACTTATTGAAGTTAACATCGTACAGAATAGAACTAGATGAATAATAATAGAATAAATTTCAATGACTAGTTGATGTTCACGACATATTCCGATTAACGCTTTATAAATAATAAAAGAGATTTAATAGTACTAAGTTAGTTCTATTAATTGAAGAAAAAATAAATAGATTATTTTGTATACCACATATTTCGCACATATGAACAGGTTTTTTCGACAACGAACAAATAAATGTCAATGTTTCATTATCGTAAAAACCTGCACTAAATAGCAATATTTATTATCCAGATTTGATTTGAGTAATCTACAAATTTCCTTAGTTTATTTGGTATATACATGTGTACATCATTATTTTTTTGTATTCAATTTCACTGTTTAGCAACCGTAAAGAATCCATTTCATATCTTCTTTTATGGCAAAATTGAGCTTATTGAAAAACTGCTACTCTTTGAAACACTTCTTGTATTCTTCTACTTTTTTTATTCTTTTCATGATGAAAATATTTTTGGAAAAAAAAGAAGAAAAAAAAACATATGAAATATGATCTATATAATTGTGGTGGTTAAAAAAAGCATATATATATATATAGACGGACAAGTTACATCGCCGACATGATGTTTTGTTAAATAACACACACGCCTCATCGGCCTATAGTTTTAATACAATTCAAATTGATGGGCAACAATTATAGCAAGATAATTCTACTCACACAGAATGATCTGTTTTTCATCTCTTTACAACCAAATAATCTTTGAATGTTTTTGAATTTTCTCATTATATAAAAAAAAAGTATACAGTTTTATAAATCTTTAAATATAAAAATAATTTATTGATAAATATGAGAAATTCTATCCATTGTAAATCGAATGTTTTCGAACTACTTTATACTTTGTTTTTACAAGGCAATACTGACATTAGTTTAATATCTCCAGATTTTAAAAAAATCAATTATTCTCTTCCGTTAAGGATGTTTTCTGTACTAGAAAAACAATATGCAATAATTAATTTGAGGAAAAGAAAGTATTCTCGACTAGTTTCAGTAACACGTTTTTACAACACAAAAAAAACAACAGTCTTTCCGTATGTTTTCTTATGAAAACTTTTTAAAATTACTAGTACATATTCTTTTCGGATCACTATTTATTTTTTTTTTACTCGTAAGATATAAAATGTCAGAAATTCAAAACTTGAGCAGGAGTTTGTTTTTTTCGTTCTTTTTACCATGGTTGATTAGAGCTCATTGAGTTACCTAGAACAAACTCTATTTTGGATTTTAAAAGTGATTTTTGGGTGAAAACATTTAAAAATATTGATCTTTTAAAACGAGACAAAAAAATCAGTGACTTTTTCCAAAAAGACCAAAATTCGTTCTTTATTATTCTTTTAAAATTCTCAAACTATTTTTTTCTAATTCAGCACGCAAAACCGAGTTTGAACCCCTATTTTGGACATTTTTGGCAATCCCAAATGTTTTTGAATTAGCAAATCACGAGCAGAATCGAAAAAATGCGCCTGTGCATATTGCAAACCTAACTGGTCCTATAGATTAGCAGATAAAACAGATTTTTTACCTCATCTTAATCGTCATATATGTGGGGGAAAAATTAAGGATGGGTTTTAGAAAATATTGTTTCGTTATTGAGAAAATTAATTTTTTTGAAACAGGTAGCAAAAACCAAGAAATTAGAAAAAAATAGTTTTGGGAATTTTGAAAAAGGAATAAAGAACGAATTTTGTTCTTTTTGGAAAAAGTCACTGATTATTTTGTCTCGTTTCAAAAAATCAATATTTTAAAACTTTTTTACCCAAAAATCACTTTTGAAAATTCAAAATAGAGTTTGTACTACGTAACTCAATGAGTTCTATCCAACCATGGTAAAAAGAACGAAAACAAAAAATTCTATGCAAGTTTTGAATTTCCGGCACCTTACATAATCCGACTTTAGATTTTATTTTTCATTACAAAGCATCAACAACATAACGTACTCTAATATATTTACCTTTGAAATATAACTATAATAGAATAAAAAAAAGACGTTTTATTCTTCATATTTGTATACTCGTTTGAACTCAAAAAAATGTTTATGTAAAGAAAATGTTTTGTAAAAAAGACGATATACGACAGTATTATTACTAAAATAAGAAGATGCGTTGACCCTTTGTTAAAAAAATGAAGAAAAATATACAAAAAGAAAAAAAAGGAGAAAAATGTTCACTCATTATACTATTCTAACAAGTGTTTTCTTGTCTTTTCTTATCTAAAAGTAAAAAAATTTCCATATTTTAAATGTGTTCACTTTTATTCTTCTCAAAAGAAATTTTAAAATATTTATCGTATGTCACACTACACAGAAATACACAAAACAAACAGAGGCTTTGATCTTTTTTTGTCACATATATATATATATATATCTTTTTTAACAAATATATAAATTCTATGTCGATGTTTAATGAAAAACATAAGACGGAGATCTCATATGTATTATGATAAAAAAACTCTTTACATATACACACGTTTGTTTGATAGTCGCGGTAAACTAATTTCTCAAAGGTATTGAAGGTATTGAGGGAAGTGATAGATAATAGAAATAAGTATGTATGGATTCATTTGGGAATATACTTACATATAAAAAAAATTAGTTTCTGATTTCTTCTTTTCTAGTTTTTAATTCAATTCATCTTTCTCTTGTGCTTTTTTTCCGTTATGCGCCTCTTTAACACTTTCTCAAAATAAAAAGGAAAAAAGAAATTATGGAAACTTTAATCAAGAGTGCATATCATCACCATCAACCATAAGAGAAGAAAAGAAAAACTGACTACAAAAAAATAAAGAAAGAAAACAAGTACATTTACGTGGTGTATAGTTGGTTTGATTTTAAAATCAGCTGTTCTATAAATTATCAGAAAAATAAATTTTTATTAGTTGAACTAAAATTATCTCTGCTTGTCACTTTATTCTATTTATTAAATTCTAAATAGAAATATGTGCAACTGAAACCATAAAGATGCTTTTTCTTTCGCACTTTGCTTTGTCTTCAGTTAGCCTAGAAGGAACGTAAAGGGAAGATGTTGTTCTTTTGAGTTTTTGGAGACGAACTGAGAAATAAGTACTTGTATAGTTTCAGAATGTCAGAAAAGACTTAT